GGAATTAACCTTCAATTCTTTAAATTTATGAGTGAAATATGACAATGCGATGTGTTTTGACTTGAAATTCATGAAATTGAAAGCTTTTGAGATTTTATATTGAAAATTTGAAGATTATGTCTTTATAATAGTTCAATTATTTGAATGGTGATGTTTACCTTTGTTCTCATGATTGTATAAATTCTTGGAATTTGTGGAAATCTTGGAAATGTTGTTTTAGGGGGTGGTAAATAGCATGGGAGTCCGGGTGGGGAGTCGATTTTTGAAAAGAGTTATGTGTTGTTGGTACCCGCATAAGGAGTCAAGGTACCCAATTGTCTTGTCTGAGCTTGTCGCCAGACGAATGCGGGAAAATGTTTTTGGGTGTCCACTGGTCCTGCCATGTTGTGGTTTGTAAAAGTGAAAAAACGGATGATTTTGGGTGCCCACGTCCTACCGTATAATAGTCGGTAAATATGGAGGTGGTTTTAAATGAAAGTGACTTGTGTATGTGATTTGGGAGTCTCTTTAGGGACTTCATGGTGTATTTACCCTCCGGTGTTGAAATGTGATCTTCATGAAAATTATAATATCTAAGTTTTGTTGCTTAAACTCCTAACATGAGTTGAACAAGAAAATGTTTTGGTTATCATAATACCATATGGATTTTCAAATCAATAGATACTTTGTTAAAAGTATTTCTACTGGACATCTAACTCATTCTTATCTAACAATTTCAGGAATTGATGATATGCAATCACCCCTATGAGAAGGAGGTGGACTTCTTTATTTTGTTAGAGCATGAAGGCTCATGGAAGCATTATGTGGAAGCTTCGAGCATATGTATTTTGGGACCGTGTCCATTTTGTTATAACAAGGCCTTGCCTTGATGTTTGTATGCCATTAAAGCATTATTATTTTATTCTTTAGTTTCTTGAACTATGTAAATGTTACAATTACTAAGACAAGAATATGAAAATTGTAATATTTGATATGTAGTTCAATGGTAAAGAGGACTTTTGAGATTAACATTTTTGTTTGGCTTGGAGAGATTTTGAATTTATCAAGTTATGAGAAGTGTATTAATTTAATTAATTTGGGGGCGTTACATGCAAAGCAGCAAAAGAGGGGCGCATACTGCATAATCCGCGTCCGATTCTTAAGGTTAGGACGATGAAATCTCTTTAGGGATTTCTAGACTACTAACAATTAACCTTGTAACCTGTGTTATTTACTTGAATGTCATGTTCATTTCCCCTATTATTGAAATTTTTACTGTGTATTAGATTGAAAAATAGGGACGAGGTGTATGTGCATTTACTGGCATTCAATACTCACGACGTATCATGCCAGGTGCAAAAGAGGAGTTTGCAATAGTAAACAACGAGCCTGAAACCTTTGAAGACTTTTTGCTATCCTAGAGAAGTTAGAAATTTCTTTTTGTGTTTTATATAGTCCATCTGAAATTTTATTTTTGAATGTAATATTGATGGAACTAATTTTTGTAACTAAGTACATTTTGTATCTATTCTCTTATTATTATTATATGCCTGCCTTTTTAAAAACTAATATAGTACCCTACATTGCTTATGAGACCTTGCATCAATGCCTTTTAAGATCTGTCAAAAAGGTTGTGTGCTACCTAAGAAAGCTAGACTTAGAAGGGAGGCTAATTTGACTCCTCCCGGATCACTGTACAACAAGGGTAAACCCGGGATCGCTATAAGTTTGCAATCGTAAACGACGAGCCTGAAACCTTTGAAGATTTTTGCTATCCTAAAGAAGTTAGAAATTTCTTTTTGTGTTTTATATAGCCCATCTGGAATTTTATTTTTGAATGTAATATTGATGGAACTAATTTTTGTAACTAAGTACATTCCGTATCTATTCTCTTATTATTATTATATGCTTGTCTTTTTAAAAACCAATATAGTTCCCTACGTTGCTTATGAGATCTTGCGTCAATGACTTTTAAGATCTGTCAAAAAGGTAGTGCCCTACCTAAGAAAGCTGGACTTAAAAGGGAGGCCAATTTGACTCCTCCGGCGATCTAGGATCTTACTTGGTCATTGGCCATAGGACTCATTAGTGACTTTCTCTTGACTACAACAACCCTTAGTATAGATTTTGGAGCGTCATAGTTGGAGGTTAACTTTCACGATTTCATATACAGAGATCAAAATGAAGTTTGACCAAAAATGCAGAAAGTTGACTGTCACGATTTCATGTATAAATATCAAAATGGACTTTGATACAAAGTGTAGGGATACAAAGTGTAACTTACCCTACATTTAATACCCAAAAAAATTAAAGTATTAGAGACTAAAATTTAGGGACAATTATTTTTTAAGGACCAAATATTTATGTTGCGAAAAGTGTGGTTATTATATTCTTAGTAACGAAAATTGAACATTAGTGATGAATTTTATCTTTTTGGAACCAAATTTTTTGTCTTAAAAAATAAGCCTTTTTTAGACTAAATTATTTTGTCCCTGAAAGTGTATTTATTAGTGACATTTTCAAAATTTTGTCGCCAAATGTCTTGTTTTTTGACTTTTTATGACGACCTTTTAGTGACTATCCTCATGACGATAGAAATTACTCCTAAATGTCTTTTGCAACAAAATTTTTACTTTTATAAAATAAAAAAATTAATCTCTAAAACTCTTACATATTGTAGTGATTCTACTATCTGCAAACCTTGCTTAGGCTATAAGTCACGTATATAGTGGAGTCTGGATCCTCTGTAGTGTCGCATGTCCCCAAAACGACTTACCCAAAAAAAGGGGAAAAAAAGAAAAAAAAAAAGCTACTTTCTGCCTCTTCTTCAGCCTGATCAAGCGCAGAAAGAACCGCTCGAGCGTAGAATACACCCTCCCAGTAGTTTTGCAGACCTACAAAAGTACTGAGAGTTTACAAAGCCCGCTCGAGAGCAAGAAGTGCCGCTCCAGCGAAGGAGCAAAATTCTGAGCAATAAAAGTTTGGAAACTAAGCAACCAACATGTCCCAAATGCAACCACAACAATCCCATAGCCAAATTTAAGTAGATACAAGGGAAGCAAGATGTGAAAAATAATATGAAATCATGAAACCCGAGTCCGGGATACAACAAGAGTCGGATCAAAACCGGAATCGCTATATTTCTCTTCGCCGCTAGAAGCCTTAGCACGATCCGAAAAACATAGATCTGGGGTTTGCGCTCTCCTCTTCCCCAGCGACTGTCGCTATCACTGCCTCCGCTGCAGCAACTAACCTCCTGGATCAGAAAAAGAAGAAGAAAAAAAAAGGAAAGATGGTGGTCGTCGGAAGGGATAACCAGAACGGTGACGACCAGATCTCTTCTTTTCTACTCCCTCATTCTCTCTCTCACTACTCTTCCTCTATCAACTGGTTCTTCACTCCTCAGTTGCAAAATAATAATAATAATAATAGAAAAACAAGTTCTAATCTCTATTTCTCAATCCCAATAAAAAGTTTAAATTTCAATGTCGTGTTCAAATTTAGCACCAAGGACCCAAATCCCATATCCTGGTTGGGACTTTTTCACCATTGTTGTTCATCTTACTACCATTGTTGGAAGTTGCAACAATGGAACGTACATATTTTCTTGTATTGTTTGCATATATGGCTTCTTGTTATTGTTGCCTAGACAGACCTAGTTGATTTGCTTTTTTCCTTTACACATTCTCAAACTATGTTGTGGGGGTTGAAGAGTCGTCCGGAGAATAGGGGTTGAAGTGGGGTGGATTGTGGTTCACAAAGAATGGTGCCTTCTTCTCTTTTAGTTTCTTCTCTCTCTGTTGTTATTGTTGTTGTTGCTTCTTTTTTTTTCTTTTTCTTTTTTTGTGAATTACACTAACAGTTTCTATAGTTTTGGGTTCGTGTCATTTTGATTCTTGACTTTTCAATTGTGACATATTTGACTCTGCATTTTGAAACTTGTTTCAAATTAGGATAATTGAAGATACCATTGATTAATTTTAAGGACAAAATCGTCAATTTGATTAAATATAAACTAATTTAACAAAAATAAATTTTAAAAAATATTTTTAAATTTTTAAAAATTATTTCTACCCATCAAAAATAAAATTATGTAAAATTGATAAATTTTTTAGACATTTATTTATTTATTATCAAATTAATTTTTATTATGTGTTTGGATAATGATCATGCAATGGGTGGTTGTTAACATTTTAATGTGTAATCAATATATTTAATATATGAAATGGTTTTAGTTTTGAATTTTTTGATTTAATAGATCGGTTTAATAATGATATCAAAGTTATCACAATATTTGACTGTTGGAAAAATAGAAACTAATTCAATAAAAATAAAAATAACCACTTATTACATTATTATCATTCAAACACATAATAAAAATTAATTTGGTAAAAAACATAAATAAGTAAATGTCTAAAAGATTTATTAATTTTACATAATTTTTATCTTTAGTGGATAAAATAATTTTTCAAAATTTGAAAATATACTTTTTTTGACATTTATTTTTATCAAATTAACAATTTGACCCTTAAAATTAAGCAATAATATCTTTAATTATTTTTATTTGAAACAAGATTCAAAATTCAAGATCAAATATGTCACAATTAAAAAGTCAGAATTAAAATGACATAAATCTCAAACTATAGAAATTATTAGTATAATTCGTCCTTTATTTTTATTTTATTTTTTCTTTTTGGGAGTAGGTTTTGCCTTAAAACGATGTGATTTTGGAACATTACAAAAATCACTAGGGGGAGCTACAGCGGAGAATCTGGACTCGTGTATAGTGGTTTCATTTTAGACCTTGTTTGGCAACTTTTTATTTTAGTTAAAAAATCATTATAAATTGTTAAATCACTCTCTCTTTATTTTTATACATATTTTTTTATAAAAAATTAAAAAATTATTAAAATATTTTATTTCCAAACGAGCCTTTGTCTTTTGCCGACTCACAAGTCGACACGAAGTCGAAACTTGCAATAATCACTCTCTCTATCGACCAAGTAATAAACTTTATCTCTTTTTCTCTTTCCACTATTCTCCACGCTTTCTCACCAAGTTTTGATTTCTCACCACCGAACCCCAACTCTCTCTCTCTCTCTCTCTCTCTGAGCTAACTTCTTTGAGAACCCAATCAACATTTGCTGAACCCTTGAACATGGAGATCTCAGACAACAAAAAAGAACATGAAGTCCATAATTCTATGCCAATTAAGCCACCACCGCATGAAGCTCTGTTTCTTGCATTATCTTACCTTCCTCTCTTCGAGCTTCTTGCGATGAGTGGTGTCTGCAAGTCACTCAGAGATGCTGTCAACAATGATATACTTCCATGGCTAAACATCACTGTAAAACAGCCTCTCAACTCTCGGCTTTCCGATCATATTTTGATGAGAATTGCTTCCAAAGCAAATGGTCGCCTCAGAACTCTGGCTCTCATCAACTGTGTCATGATCACCGATGATGGGCTTCAACAAGTCATAGAGAACAATCCCCATATTACCAAGGTTTGGATTATTTTTCTGTTTTTTTTATGGGTTATGTCTGAAATCGATTTAGGTGTCTTTGGAATAATTTTAATTTTTTTTTTAAATTAAAAAACACTAGTAATAGTTCGGATAATTACATATATATCTCTGAAATTTACTTATAATACAGATACTCTTGTAATTTAAAAAATTATAAATATCCTATTGGTTTATCCTATTGGCAATAAAAAATTATTTAACAGAATTAATAAAAAAATAAAAATTTTAATTATTTTCCCATATAATATTAAATTTACATGAATTATTAATTTAAATAAATTGCTAACATTATTGAAAAATTATTAATTAATTTTATGATTTATTAATAAAAAAATGTTATTTGTAATAAAATTAAAAACTCAAGGCTAAAATGTAATTTTTAAAACTATAGGAGTAATTAAGCAAAACTCAGGAGTGATATATTTGTAATTTATCTTTATATATATATATATATATTGTGTGCAAGAAGAAAAAAAAAAAAAAAAAAAAAACTATTTGGTGTTATTGTCTCTTAAAAAGTTGATTGTTCTAAGAGCATCTCCAACATTTAATTTTTTTTTAATAAATTTGAGTAAAATTTTGAGTAAAAACTTTATTTGTTCTAACAAAAAAAATTAAATTTTAATCATAATACCGGTCGATCGAGAGGACGACCAGATGATTGTCCGGCCAGTTGACTGATTTGGTGTAAAATAACCACAACCTATATGACAATTTTGCAAGGGAGAGATTGGCCGGGAGGATGTCCACCCATGGTTCACTTACAAATTTGATGAAACATTCTAGACATTTTCAATTTGATGAAAAGTTTAAGATATTCTCAATTTGATATTGGTTAAATGTTACGATTAGAACACCGAAACTAGACGTTTTTTTATCAAATTTAAATTTGATAAAAAAAAAATTAGTAAGTATTGAAGACGTTCTAAGATTTTTTTTTTTTTTTTTTTTTTAACAATTCACCAAAAGTTTTGAATGTTGTAGAAAATAAAAACAGAAACAAAAACAATATCGATCAAGTCTATAGTAGTTCATATTCGTTGTGCTCTAGCTCAGAATTGATTTATATATACCTCCATAAGCCAGTCTTTTTGATTAGTGATTAAATTTAGATAGAAATTTAAAGAAATAAAATGTGAGAATAATATGAATGAAATATAATAATAGTTTGTATTTAAGTGGTTGGAACAATACCTATGTTAAAAAACTCTACCAAACACTTCATGTGTTCGATTAGTTTGTACACCTGAGTCTTAGGATCACTACTTTACGGTTGTATTGAGATTAGATAAAAATTTGGGAAGAAAGAATAAAAAATGAAAAAAATGTGAATAAAATTTAAATTAAATAAATTTCTTTATTTTCTTTTTTGTTTTCAAATTCATGATCCAAACACATGTTAACAAATAAAATTTAACTTATATTTCATTTACATTCTCTCATTTATTCCATTTTTTTTCCTTTAAATTTTTATCTAAATCTATCGTCCAAACATAACATTCCGGTTTAAGAGATGGGAATGGATGAGATATGATTGGTAGAGGCTACAAATTTGTTCTGGTCTGACCAGTTGAAATCTTGATGTGCACTGTAAATTAGAGACCACACATGTTTTCTGAAACAAGAACACCCAAAAGTAGCCATCCATCTTCACATGACTTATTTTTGCACTAACAAGTCTCCAAAAATCAAGAAAACTACTCAAAAGTGTTTCCTACCTGAAAACAAATTTGAAAACAATTTAATCTCGTATTAATTTTTGTATAGGGAAAAGATGTTGCATGATTTTTAACCCACAAATGTTGTTCATAATTGGCAGCTCCATGTACCAGCATGCACTGGCTTAACCCCTGATGGTGTTGTAAGAGCAGTGAAGACGCTAACCGATCATAGCCCTAATTTGATCAGCCTGAAGATAGCCGGCATCTATGGCATAAACAAACACCACGTGGAAACACTTCACTCCATTCTCAATACAAACCTAAAACGGCACAATCCACAGATACAACATGAGCACAAGCGTTTCACACAACACCAAGAAACCGACTGTCCGATTGACATAGACATATGCCCCAAGTGTGATCAAGCGAATATGGTTTTCGATTGCCCTAGAAAAAGTTGCGCGCAGAAGAGGAAGGAGGGTCAGAGCGAGTGTAGGGGTTGCTACTGTTGCATTATGAGGTGTGTCCAGTGTGGTAAATGTGTTGAATATGAAGAACCGGCAGAGGCGGTTTGCTTACATACCCTGTGTTTAGACTGTTGGCTTCAGCTTCGAAAATGTTGTTTTTGTAACCGGCCGTACTGTAACCAACATGCTGATGAGCCTGATCAGAAATACAGTCTTCTAGGGTCTTCAGGATTCATATGCGCAGTTTGTCATGAGATGTACATTGAAAATGCTCGTGACTTTTAGTTATGCTAGTTATGGAAGAATAATGATATGCATGTAATGGTACATAATCATGTGTTAAGAGTCATTAGTAGTATGTTAATGCGTTAGTGGATACAAAGAATAATAGAGTTAGTGGGTTTAATATGAGTGTGAATTACATGTTATGATCTTATATATAGCTATGCAATCTATATATCTAATAGATGAATAAGAATATGAGAATATAAAAAGAATAGTAGAAGTGAAATACAAAACTATACTCTTCAATTCTCTTCCAAATTTGTGTTGAGTATTGTTGTGCATCTATTTTTATTTCTAACAGTTACTACAATCATATAATTTGTCAACATGTGAAAACAAATGAAGAAGATTCCACTACCAACTCATACAAATCCAGTTTCAAAGAATATCAACTTTGCACAAACGGACTAACCTAAAAACATAGCTACACACCAATAATCACATCCGCGAAGTTTGTACACAATCAAATAGACTTGCTTTGAAAACCTTACGACCACTAACAAAATTGTGTATGATGGAAGTTATCCAAAAAGAGAGTGAAACAGAATGTTTCAAAGGACACTGATGCAGTTAAAAATTTTGCACAATGATTCCATGTATCAGTTTAGAAGAACACTGCACTCAACAATAAAACACCAATGACCATAGATCTCACAAAAGCATTATCACCATAGTTGACATATTGTGAAGGGGAGCCAGATGTGGTTGAATTTGAAGACGGAGCGAGCGACGTACCATTTATAGAGGTGCCATTTCTTCCACCACGACTACATCAACAAACAAGCAACATTTACAAAATTCAGGAATCTGAGTGACGAATAATATCCAAAACTACGTCGTGAAAAAAAAAATGGTATTTTAATATCATTTACTTCAATTTAAAACTCGAGATGCCAAATTATGTGATTTGCTAACGTGTCTCGTAGCAGTAAAAAGCACAACATCATTGAAGGAAACTAAGACATGTAAGGCGAACAACTGAACGATATGTAAGCATGCACATAACAGAAATTTATATGAGTAGAATGATTCATACCTTCCCGGAAACCGACACGAACCATGACCTGCACAAATGGAACAGACATTGGTAACTTCGAGGATACAAGCCATAAAGAAAGCATGAAAAGCCAGAAGAAAAAAAAGCATCATGAATCCATACTTGGGTCTGTGGTAGTGATGGCAGCAACTCCATTGAAGTTACAGGTCCCATCAGCCATGGCCATCTTGTGATAATACGTATCAAAAGCATATGTTGCGTGCGCAATCACATTATCTGGTTCATAACACGGTTGTCCCTGCAACAAGGGAGAGCAATCCACTTTTCCTGGTCCACAAGCCCAATCCAAGGCTGCTTGTAGCATCTTTGGATCAGCAGCATCTCTTGCCACACAATAGGTCTGGTTCGTCGTGTCATTTGCCAACACTGTCCCTGAACCCGTCAAGTGTAGGATATAAATTGGCACCCCGCTCGCATCAAAAAGCCCCCAATTCTTCTCTGAAACAGACCCAGGTCTCAAATCTTCATTGTAAAGCTCATATATGTAAGTACTAACCGCAATCCCAGGGTGTTTGGGAGTCCCCGTGTTGTTAAGCACGTGCTTTATTAGGTTGCTATTGTAAGTGTTGGCATTGTCAACAGTAGCGTCTGGCTCTGACGAGTCACCCTTGGAAGGCCAACCTGTCTCGGTCACTACGATGGGGATATTAGTGAAGTTCAAATAGGACATTGCAAAATAAGCTGCATCAACTATCGCATCAAAGACGTTAGTGTAGTGAAGGAGCGTGTTAGAATCCACAGCTTCCTTGTTCGGAGGGAGAGGACGGAAAAGCGCATAGTCCAATGGAATCACATTGTTTGATTGCACATAATCGTAATAGGGGTACACATTTAGCATAAGGTATGACCCCGTGGACTGCAAGAATTTGAGCAAAGGAACCATGACCGGATCCCAAGTGCGATTAAAAAAGGCTTGGGAAGGCGGGAATGAATCGAGGATAATGGAAGAAGCGTGTGGGGTAGAGACTTTGATTTGGGAATCGATATTGGCGGCAACGAGGGCGGATTGGATGAATTTCATGGCAGAGACTAGGATGGGAGCGGCATTTGAGAGGGTCGTAAGGACTTCGGATCCAACAGCAATGCCTGTGATATTGGTGGCAGGGACGTGGGCCAGAACGTTTCGAGTAACCCAGTTGGCAGCGGTTGCATTGGATTGGCCAATGCCTAGTAACTGGTCATTGGGAACAGAAACTGTTACACGGATTCCACTGTTTGCGAGTGCCAGTAGCATGGCTCGGTCAGCATCAAAGAGCCTGATGTGATGAATATTCTGAGCCTTGAGGAGGGCCACAACCTGAGTTGGGCTTGGCATGTCAGAGAGGTCTGTGCCTATGTTCACACCAATAAAAGCATCTGCAGAAAAGATATGGGGGTTCAGACTTTGAAAATACAATTGCCAGTGAAAATAGAAAATCTATGTTCCAAATTAGTAATCGGGTAGATCTCCATAACACACTGGATCCATGTGGACTGATGGTCAGCCTAGGAGGAAAATTTTGGCATGTGAATATTGGAGTGAGCCAAAAACCAAGACACTTTGTATGCCCTTTCAAACATGAGAACAAATAGGAAAATAGGCAAAGTCCATTTGTTGAGGATATGATAAATACTTTACCCACCTCTTTGACAGATAAGCTTTTAAAAAAGTTAGTTATCGACAAATTAAGGTAATAGACCTTGTGTTCAAACTTCAACACCTACATGACAGTTAAAATACTCACACCACACGTATTTTGGCCTACTTATGGACAAATTCTAGCCAAACATGAGGGGATATGTTGAGGATTAAATAATTAAGTTACGCCTCTCTAACAGCTAAGCATTTAGATGAGTAATGAGTTGTTGGTTGACAATATAACACCATCAATATATATTGGGTTGCCAATCTACACACTATAATAGATAAACCTAAACAATATATATTGGGTTGCCAAATCTACACACTATAATAGATAAACCTAAACGTTCAAATACGCCAAATGACCCATCAAAGAGTGCATTAGATGTTCTTAGTTCTAATAGAACAAATGGTTTCAATCAATCCAAAAAGCAAATGATAGTTTCAATTATGCTTGGGTAAATTCATCCCAACCACAACAATCTCATGATCTAGTGGTCTCATAATGGGAACCCTGGGGAGAAACACAACTCAAATCAAACAAACCAAACTTTAGTTGAACTATACAATAGTGATGCGGAAAGTGCTAGCTCTAAAGTTGGCTTGGAGATTTTATTTTGTTTGTAAATTTACGTTTTAATATTTATATTATTTATTTTCTCCACTTACACAGGCAGATTAATTAAATGATATAGGAATAGAGATGTGTCACCAGATTACGTGCCCATGTGGCCTTCTGTTGGATGTTAAGTATCATGATCTACAGAATAGATGTTGCCCAAGCTAAGGGAATCAAATTTAATAGATTTAGATTTTACCTAAAAGAGGACAGAAGGGTGTTATAAAATTCAGAAATTGTTATCTGTCTTTATTTTGAAATAGTTCTTCATTGATTTGAAAATTTGGGAAACTAAATGCAAATATTCTCGGGGCACAGTTCTAAATTGCACTAGGACACGTCTCATTAGAACACCATTGATTTGAAATTAATTTCAAATTCTTTCTTTGTCAATATAAAAATAAAATAAAAATAGAAAATAGAAAAAGAAGAAGTAGATAAAAAAGAAATGCCTTCATGTAGTTGCTTTTCTATGACAATGAATTCAAATGAAAAAGAAATGGGAAATATCTAAAGTACAATTATGAAAACAGTCCTTAAGCATTAAAGGTCAGAATTTGCTTTATTTTTAGGTCATAAATGAAGATCATATTAGGTGGTCAGCCAAAAAAATATAAAAATTTCATAACTAAACAATGGTTAAATATTTTAAACCATTTGATCCTAGCTTTTGACTGACTTCATTCCATAATTTGGCTCCATCTATAGCCAGGAGGTCTAGACTTGCTACATGACAACACCTACAGCTTCTTCATTTACAACAGACATCATCTTCATTTTCAGATGGCTGCATTCCATTTTAAAGAAACGGTTTCATTAAATAGTGAAAGCAGCAAGCCTATACAAATATAGATGAATGGTAGGTTGGGGACATTCCTACTCTTGCAGATCTAACATTCTCCCTTCTGTAATGGCCCACATCTTGCCCGGGCTCAGGGTCACTGTAGAAATTATTTCGGACTTTATTCTCATTATCCGAACCATTTAATTTTTAAAGAACATCGAGTAGAACATACTTGGAAAAAAATCAAGTTGATCGGATATCAATAGACCCTTCATCAATTCAAATTTGTATATATAAAAAATATATATATATATATATAAATATTAAACTGAATACAAATATGAGTTGATGAAGGGTCTATCGATATCCAATCAACTTGATTTTTTACAGGTATGTTCTACTTTATGTTATTTAAAAATTGAACGGTTCGAATAATCAAAATAAATCTGAAATAATTCCCACATGCCACACAGCAGTGGCTCCAACTCCACAATGCCCTTATGAACCATTAAAGGATACAAATAAAGAAAACTGACAAAAAATTCCAAGTCATATTTGAATGCCTTTTCCAATGTAAATTATTCCTAGCAGTTTTGTGTTGCATTGCCATAAGGGTAAACTATCAATAGGTCTTAATAATTAATAATTGAACTTAATTCCCATTAAGTCCTATTAAAAATAAAAATTGTCGCTAAAACTTACAATTAGTGACGTTTTTCTATGACAAATTTTTTAAATTGTTGCTAAAAGTTGTGAATTAGTGACATTTTTTGTGACGATTTTTTAAACTGTCGCTAAAATTTATAATTAATAACATACTTTGTGACAAAATTTTCATACTGCCGCTGAAAATTAGCAATTAATGACGTTTTTTAATAATGTTTAATGAAAAATGTCATTGATTGTCATAGGACCTATTGAATAATATAATAAATCTATTTATTAACACTTACACGTAAGTTTCCCTTGCCACAAACGCATCACAGCCTACAATTTTTGTAGGTATCACATGGGGGACTCACAAAATAGAAGGGTGTGATGTGCTTGTGACACTCCTTTTCCGAAACCAATACGTCCATCATGCCAGTGTAGCTTATATTGGGGTTTTTCTATTCATTGGCTAAGTTCTCAGTTTTCTAATATTTCACTAACATAACCACCAGAAGAGGACAATGGAGTTTGTATCATTGTTATTATTATCATGACTTCTAGATCTTTCAATTTATAATTGAAAACACACTGACAGTTAGATCTAGACAGGCAAAGGTGGAGATTCATAGAACAATTGTCAGAAGTGATGGACTAAAACATATAATATAGTGGTGTAAACAAGGCAACACATGTTAATAATATATTCTCTTTTTTTAACTAGTAAAATGACAAAAATGCCCTTCAAATTGGTAGGACCCAGATGGGTTACTATTATGGTCCTCCTATGATACATTTTATAGTCAGTGTGTTCATAGGAAAAGGGGAAGTTACATGAGCTGGGATGCAATATGGTTGATTTGATTAGGAAGAGCCTGACAGATTCGAGAATTTCAACAAATGGAAGTGAATTTACCATAATGTCCCATGCTTTGGCAAGAACGTGGAAGATTTAAAAGGGAAAAAAAAATTAAAAAACAAAAGAAAGAGTTAAATTACACTTCTGACCTCCAACTTTTATAATTTTACTTTGGTGGCCCATATTCAAACTCTTGTTTCAATATAGTCCTTCGGTCACAATCAGTTAAAAAAACAAAACTGCTAGGACTAGGACCCAAAAAAAAAACTTCCAAACCCTAGCTCTTAAAAAAATGAACAAAGAGTTCTCACCTTATGGGGCCACATCAGCACATTTTAAAGACAACAAAAGAAAAAGAAAAAGAAAAAAAAACCACTTTCAAATTTCGCTCAAATTTTAATCAGTGGCGGTGTGACAGAAGGGCTACATTGATACTCGGTTTGAAGCCCAAGAAATTTTGTAATTGAAACTGAAGTGACCCAAGTGAATTCAAGGAAAGTCAGAGGGTCAAACTGTAATTCACCCAAAATTAAATAAGACTCTTTCTCTCCCCCCACTATCAGTGGAAACAGGGTTTATGGCAAGGACAATGACTTCAAACAGTATACAAATTTTGTTTATGCACTTCGAAAATGGCCCAGCTTGCTTTCTTCTAAACTTTACTCTACAGTCCCAGAAGCACTCAATAAAGGTCCAAAGTAGAAAGAATGGCAAAGCATATTTGGAAACCAGGAATCATGTAAAAGGGAGATTTACTATTAAATGAAATCAGTAACTCAAATGTAATCAGACCCAAATTTCTTACAAATTTTTCAATCGAATCTCATTGACATCCACATTCAAATCCTCAAGCACAGGTCTTTAACAAAGATACAAAAAAAAACCCAATTTTTTTTTTTAAAAAAAAAAACCATGCAAGGGAAAGGGAAAAAAACAGAGATAATCAACAGAGAACCAAACATTTGTGTGTGTGTGTGTGTGTGTGTACCAATCTATCAATGAGAAGAGAGTACAGAGAGAGATACCCAGATGGAATAGGATCAAACCCTGAAGAAAAAAGAAATAATAGAAGCAAATAGGAGAAAGAGAAAAGAGCTCACCTTCACCAGAAGAAGCAGTAAAGACTGATAAAAGAAGAAGCAGCAGCAATAGACCCATTGATTTTTAGACTTTTTTATTAGCTCCAAACCTTCAATCTTCCAAAACCATACAAACCCACTGATGTGAAATCTCGAAGAAACGAAGAAACGAATCTAGAGAGAGAAAGAGAGAGAGGGGAAATCTAGAGAGAGAAGAGGGGGCACTTTTGAGGAAGAACTGGGAGAGAGGGACAGAGAGAGAGATTGTGAGAGAGAGATTTATTGGATTTGTTTTTTTTAAAGTGTTTTTTTGTGAAAAGAACAGGTGGGCCAGAGAGTGAGGTTCTGTACAGATCAAACTTTTTACAGAGATCTAACGGATGAGATTGAACTGGGGGCTGTCTGAGACCTGACCGCCGTTGAACCCAAAATTGTTTTTCTTATGTTTAGTTGAATGGGTGCAGCTAATTTCAATAAGCAGTAAATATCAAAATATTTATAACTGTAATATATTTCCAACACTAAAAGGTCTTTAAAAGATATGTTTAATATTTTTCTTATTAAAAAAACTTTCTTTCAATATGTAATATTATTTATGTGATATTTTTATTAATAAAAAATTATAATACATAAATTATATATTGTCTTTATCCAACAAAAATGAGTTTACATACTTCACTTATAAAAAATTTTGCTTTCTACTTGAGTTGGAACACTATATAAGTAATTACTATTTTTTTTTTTTGGGACCATCTCCATTTATTTACTAATTTTTTCATCTAATTCAATTTTAAATTTGATAAAAAAAAAACTAAAAGTGGTGCTCTAAAGCACCACTAATGAGTTGGCAAGCACTTTAACCAAAAAATAAATAAAAACACAAGACACAAGCAATGGGTCCCGTCCACTGCCACATCACTAGTGGTGCTTTTAGAGCACCACTTTTAGTGGTCTCAAGCATTATTGTATTATTTATGTGATATTTTTATTAATAAAAAATTATAATACACAAATTATATATTGTCTTTATCCAACAAAAATGAGTTTACATACTTCACTTATAAAAAAATTTGCTTTCTACTTGAGTTGGAATAAGTAATTACGATTTTTTTTTTTTGGACCATCTCCATTTATTTACTAATTTTTTCATCTAATTCAATTTTAAATTTGATAAAAAAAAAATGATGTAATATGAATTACTTCAATCTTTTAATCAAATTTTCATCAAAATCTTTTGAAAAAATTTCTCTCCTATCCTAAATTTCACTTTTCATCAAATTTGATATCAAAAAAAAAAAAAAAATCATTTCTAATGTTTCATCTTTTTAATTTCCAACAAATTTAAATTTGATGAAAAATTTAATGAGTTCTCAATTTGATAAAAACATGACTTTATTGGTCATTTGATGAAAGTATTGGAGATGAATTTTGAACACTTTTTCATCAAATTTAAATTTGATAAAATAAACGAGGAAGGATTGCAAATGCTCTTATAAGTAAAAAAAAAAAAAATTGATAATAAAAAAAAACACTAAAAGGACATCTCTCTTACTTTTTTAATAATTAGTTTTTTTAAATTTATTTACTTTTTCTTTTTTACTTTTTTAATAATTATTCTTTTGAAAAATGTATATCTATGTATTTCTATTTTGATATATCAAAAGCCACACTACCTATTTACTTATGACTTGAGCATCACGATTACATATATCTATAATATGTTATTATTTAAATTTATTATAGATTTCTACTGAACATATTTGTTCATTCTCGTTGTTAAACCATTTTTCAAGTGTAAAGTTGAGGGATTTGTCAAAGAATTAAGAAATTTACTTTATAGTTAAATATGAAGATTCTTATAATTACAGGCAAAAATTCAAGTGTGCAAGGAGGGTTAATTTCCTTATCTTTTATTTTGTATTATTGTAAATTCTTCAATGCAAACTTGGGACAGTTATTGTAAATATTGCATATGAATATTTCATCATTATATATGAGAGAGAATATTATTATTTATCCATTTATTATTTTGCTTCGACGAGTATTCTATGAAAACGAACTATGATGAAGAAATTGGCAATGTTTTTGAATTATAAAATTTTGAACGTTACAGTGACTGTGGGCAACCATAGTGTGTCAGTGTAAAGATAGAAAGTAGAGAGAGAATAAGTAGACATTATTTTTTTAATTTAAGTGCAACACTATAACTAGACAAGGATATATGAAAATAGAAAAATACTTCATACTATTAATTAAAAATCACTAATTAATTACTAATAAGGTGGTATTATGTGGACCTCATTATTGATGTGATAATTTAACTTTTATCTTCTTTTTTTTTCTTTATACTATCAACTCATTAGAATTAACATTAATGGTATCAAATTAAAGCATGCTGATAAAAATAAGAAGGGAGGGGAAAATGTCATGTACAACAATAACTGGTACTTCTTACTAATATATTTTATTACAACAATGTTACAGATTACTAAATTTCTACCATTAACACCACCACTAATGATGTGGCAAGTAAAAAAAAACAAAAATTAAGACATAAAACACATGTGACAGTCCCTAATGCAACCACTAATTAGTAGTCTGCATCATTTTTCATTTTATTAATTATATTCTTAAAATTAAAATTAATCAATCACTAGACTTGACGTTATATGTACTCATAAAAATAGACATATCGAGGTTGTTTGGTTTGTTTTTGGGAGAGTTATTTTTTAAAAAAAATTTGGGGAGAGAGTTTAGAAATTTTTTTGGTTTGTTTGGTTGTATATTTTGGGAGAGTTGTTTTTTTGGGAGTTTGGGATGATTTGATATTTTGGGAGAATTTGAGTAAATGTGTGTGAGAGAAAAAGTGATTGAGAATGAGAGAGGAGAGAGAAAAAGTGATTGATTGATGTGTAAGAAAGAGAAAGTGATTTTGAAAATTTTTTGAGAAAAACTCAAACCAAACAATTTTTAAAATTTTTTTCTAAAACTCATCTCCCAAATGCAAACCAAACATAGTTTTCCAAAATAAATTGTTACCTAGCTCTTTTTTAGGGAAAATTACAAATAAAATCCTAAAGTTTGATCTCTGTAGCAAAATAAATCTTGAAATTTAAATTTTATTAATTTAAACTCTAATTTTTTTATTTATTTTCTATCTAAACCATCTATTTATTTTCATTAACTAAAATTAATGAAAAATAATATTTTATTCATTAAACTCAACTAAAAAAAGGTAGTTAAGAGATTGTAGTATTTTAGTTGTTTTTCCTTTTTTTTTGACAGGTTTAGTTAGTAAATAAAATGTATTAAACCAATTGTAGTTAAGAAATTTTTTTTTTTTTTTGACTAAATAAATGGAAAAAATTAAATAAGTTATCACTTAAAATTTAACAAAACATTATTGGTCAAATTTGTTTATCAAATAAGTTAAATAAATTAATTTACAAGTGGTACCAAAAAAAATTAAATCTACACAAATGTCTAGTTTAGAAACAGACTATTTTAGTAAATTTTTGACTTTTTATAAAAAAATGTACAAAAAAATAGATAAAGTGATGTAATAACATATAATGATTTTTTGACTTTTTGACTAAAATACTTAGTTCCCAAATATAGCCTAAGCCCTCGTTTGGCATGAAGAATTTTGGGATTAAAAGGCAAAAAAACAAAATACACTAAAAAAACAATAACATAAAATGGCACATCCAAATCATAATCATTTTATTTTTTCTTTCACAAAAGTCAAAAAAGTCAAAAAGTCTATTACAAATGAGGCTTTTTAGCCCATAGTTAAGTAGGTGTTTGGCATACATTAAAAAAAGTGCATTTTTTCATACATACACTTATTTGGGTCACATTTATCAATATCTCCTCTTTACTTTTCTATCAACTTTCTCTACTTTTCTGCACATTTTTTTTATATATAAAAAATCAAAAAGTATACTTATTTAAAACATTCCAAACTATCCCTAACATAGTTAAAAAAATTAACTCATATCCCAAACGAAAGTTAAATATACACACATCATGTGATATCCAAACTATTGAGCAAAGGATCCTATTGTGACGTTGGTCACAAAAAGGTCGTGTGGTGCCTCAATGAGGGCTTTTCTTGAGTAATCTAAACCGTTTATATTGTAAAATTTATTAAGTATATCATTCATGTAAAAAAAAATCAAGTTAATCTTAAATATAAAACCTTATGATCACATTATAACTATTTCAAAAATATTATTCAAATTATGTTATCCATTTATTTTCTAAAAATAAATATGCTCTTGTTACAAAATTATAGATATCCAATAAATTTAATTTTTTACATTAATGATATACTCACCGAATCTTATAATATGAATGGTTTGAATTATTAAAAAAAATTCAAAAAAAAGCTCCCACTAGAGCACCACAACATGTTGCTCCTTGAATAATTATCCAAGTTTAATGGAAAATTAAAGTGCTCTACATGACTATTTTACTCACCAATCACAAAACAATATGCTCTCTATTATTTCTTATATTTTGATATAAAATCATAAGTTCGACTATGTTCACAAGTCACAAATTTTTTAGAACACGAAATGGCCATCCCCAAGACTCTATTTGGTTTTAAATTTTCAAAAATAATTTTTTAAGGTTTCAATTCAGTCTTTTATTCTTAGTGTTCAATTAAAATATACTAATAATTTATTTTTTTTTAGATCTAATTAATTTAGATATGTTTAAAAAATATAAATTTTGTAAAAAAAACCTTTTAAAAATTTATTATATACAAAAAAAAAATACAAACTTTTCTGTATTTTTGTAATTTTTTAATTTTTTTATAAATTTTTATAAATATTTTACTTTTTAAGTATAAGTAAATTTTAAAAAATAAAAAATAATTAATAAAAAATAAAATAATACAAATTGAAAACTTAAAACCAAACAAGAATGCCATTGTCCGTGACGGTCAGGCTTTCACAATCTCTCTATACAGTCCGTGCTGAATGTGAAATCACATGACAATAATATGCAGCAATACAATTCTATTGACAGGCCAAAGTGGCTTTTGCTAGGTGAGGATACTAACAGCTCATGCTATAAACAGTTATACCTTGATCTAGCAAAAGTCAGTTTTGTGATAATAGTAGTGAAAACTTACAGCGAACAAACAGGCAAACGGTCACGATAATCGAGGGACAGAGAATACCAGGTCTGACACGTGGCAGAGGCCAGCTGGACAGCATTCAAATAGTCTAAATTCTAATGAAAAATGCTA